GATGCGGAGCAAATCACTGGTCGAGGGAGTGTCCTTTCCTAAAAAAGACGTGCCACAACTGCAAAGCGACTTGTCACAAACGAGGGTTCTGCAAGAACTTCAAGAGGAAGAGAAGCAGAAACCGCAACGGAAGCGATGATCTGGCCAACAACGTCGTCATCACTACAGCTCATTGCTGATGTCGCCTCCGTATCACGCATCTATCGCCCAGTGGAAATAAATGGAAAGACGATACGCATGCGCCTCGACACTGGAGCAGACGTGACTTTACTAAGCGAAGCAGACTGGATTGCTCTTGGTCGTCCGAAACTACAGTCTCCTCGACTGACACTGAAGTCTGCCAACGACAAGCCGATCAAAGTTCGAGGACGCTACGACTGCAACTTCGTCATTGATGGTCAACGAGGACGAGGTACCTGCTATGTAGCCGACACGCCATCGTTATTGGGCCTAGAGTGGATTGCCCAACACGAGCAACTGTTTCGTCATCTGACGGAAGGATCGATCTACAACATATCGTCAAAGATGCTCAGCACACTGAACACTTCTCTCACTACGCGCCTGACGGAGAAGTTCCCAGCTGTCTTCACACCTGGCCTGGGAAGGTGCACCAAATCGACTGCTAAACTTGTGCTGAAGCCCAATGCGAAGCCTGTGTTCCTGAAGGCTCGCCCTGTTCCATACGCTGCTATGCCGAAGATTTCGAACGAAATCGATCGCCTGGTGTCTACACACGTCCTGACGCCCATCGACCACTCAGAATGGGCAGCACCAATCGTCGCCGTTCAGAAGAAAAATGGATCGATCCGACTATGCGCAGACTACTCAACTGGACTGAACGACGCACTGGAACAGCACCAGCACCCACTTCCAACCCCAGACGACATCTTCACGAAACTCAACGGAGGACGTTACTTTTCTCAACTCGACCTTGCCGAAGCATACCTCCAGTTGGAAGTGGACGACGACTCTAACAAGGAGGGTCTTTCAGGTCGTGGCGCGCTTTTTAAAAATGGTTTGTTGCTTGTTGTAGGGGTCCATACAAGGATTACAAAAATGGGTTTCATTTTTGCTATGCGTTTCTGGGGAGGTCAAAAACTGAGTGAAAACAATTTGACAAGAAAGGGCGATTTTAACCGTCTTATTGGGCTCTGTTGTAGCTGTAACTTTGAGAGTGCATAGTTTATGAGGTGTTCCTTCACTATGTATCGAAAAGAGAGCAAAATAAAGTCAAAAAGAAAGTGCATGGAGAAAAGTAGTACCGAAGTTACTTCAACGACTCCCGCAACCAGTGCTTCGTGGTCGACGGATGGCGGAGTGGATAGTGCGGTGGGCTCTCACGAAGAAGGTTTGTGGATCGGATCCTCTTGGCGACGGAACTTTTTGCATTTTTCGGATACTTTATGCGTTTTCGGATTTCCGTCTCCTTGTGTTCCTGCGTGCGTGGTGATGTATATAACATGGATATATGCCATTTAAGAGCTCATTCTGTACACTCAAACTTCACGAGTCGACCCTACTTAACTATTGCGCTCTCGAAACATTACTGAGGAAACTCTTGCTGAAAGTTGGGCTACGGGGATGACTGGATGCCCTACTCACGAGTACGACACTCATTTTTGACCACGGCGCAACCTATCGCCGATTTGCTGCAAGAGCATTCTTGCACTGAATTGTTGTCAACCCGCACGCAGGGGCTGTTAAGCGCTCAGCTCGAGGAGAAAATTTTCGCTGAAAGTCTGTATATAGAGGTTATTGAACGGCCCTGATCACGGTTCTGACCTTTATAACTGGCGCCTAGGTCATTTGGCGCCAACATGGCTCTGAATACCCCCCCCTAACTGCGGGTTGGGATGCTGCGAGAATCACTTGAGAAACTACAATGCTGCCTCACTGTGTGCCAAATAAAGTACTTTTTTCACCTTGACTTGTATTGTTTTCGATGCAGTGTCGACGAAGGTCTGCTGTGCATACTCAACATTAGAGATAGAAAAAAGCCTAGAAAAATGGTTCAAAATCGCTTTTCCCAGCAAACTTTTCACCCATTTTTTGACCTTCCCAGAAATGCATAGCAAAAACGAAACCCATTTTTGTGATCCTTATATGGACCCCTACAACATGCAACAAACCATTTCTGAAAAGCGCGCCACGACCTGAAAGACCTCCCTTGTTAGGCATCTTAGTGTTCATTTGATGTTCAAACGCATTCTTCAGTGGTGGTGTTGCCGCAAGCTTGGAGGACGAACAATGTTGCAGCTCAAAAATGCATGAGGAAAACAGACCCTCTCTTTGCTCAAGGACATTGGCACACTGCATAGCGCAACACCCAACTTTGATTTCTGAACGCTAACTGGTGATGCGGTCGTTTCTTTACTAGGTTCCCATTACCAGCGGTGAGTGCTGCAAGAAACGGCCGATGACGACTCTTGAGAACTAGTCCGAGTTTTTTATTTCTTCTATTTATTCTAATTTTTCTGAAACGTAGGTGTAGACCTTGTCCCACATAGTCCTGCAAGTATGAGCGTTTTTAGTTGCAGCAAGCTCTTCAACAGTGCGCGCTTGAAAGCAGTTGGCACAATAAATCCCCCAAGACGAACAGGATCAATACTCCTGGTAGGAGAATTCCGCAAACCTGGGCAGGCACTGCATAGCGGTATCCTCGAGGAAGGTGCCTTTATGAGGGCCCTATCAAGCCACAACATTCCGACCCAAACGCCCGCCACGCCCGCCCGCCCACAAATGGACGACCGTTCCTGACGCTCGTATTCATTCATTTGCTAAGCAAATTATGAAGCGAAGGGATTGGTATGAAGCGGCCGTGATGCTGCATGCATATATGGGTACACATATGCAGCCGTATCTTCGGTAGCGGTGATTGGCAAGATGCCTACGGGAAACTCGTCCGAAATAGATTCTCAAATCACTGAGAACGGATTTTCTTTGACTGTTTCACTCCGTTCTTTCGCCATTTCCCCCACTATATAGCGCTCTACTAGCATTTTAGGCCAAGTAGGAAGGCATCGTGCCAACAGCCTTAAAGATCTCTGAATCTCGTCCCCTTGAGCTATGAGATCCGCGAATATACACACTGCATTGTGATGTTATATACAAGTGCGATGCAACAGACTTTATTGCAGTTGATGCGGAGTGGAGTTATTGCAAAGTATCACAGAAGCCACAAGACTTCGGACACACTTTCTTCTTGGTAGCCTCCGATAGTGGACCTTTGCAGAAACCACTTGGTACAAGAGACATGCAGCTGGAAAACCTCTGAATAGTTCTTGACGGGGTAATATGAAGAGGATCTTACGAGTGGTTGTCCTCGCATTTAGAGCCAGTTCCTGTATTTATGAATGGAACAACAGGTCGTTTTGTCGTTGTCGTAGTGGTGGTGGTAGTAGAGGTAGCAGTCGTAGCTCTTGGTGAATTTGCAGGAACTAGATGCTTTAGGTTGATCTTAGTGATTTCAAGACAAGAAATAATAAAGCAGTACCGTGTCGGTATTCAAGCACTGTCGTCGTTTTGACAATCCTGTTATATGTCATTATTGGGACACGGTTTATGTAAGAACGAAGAATTGTTCCAGCCGCGTCAGGTGAGCAGAATCTTCAATTCACTTCTTCTTTAAGGGTTTTTGAATGGGTTTTGTTGCGGTCAATTTGACCAGTATTCTGAGAGAAACTGTCAATTGTCATTTCGATCGCAATGATCTCCTTCAAATA